AGAGCTGACAATAAGAATCAATCGTAGAAGGTTTCTTTTTGTAATTTCAGGTGAATTTAGATAGATTATTTATGAGGATAGAAGGTGTGATGAAAAAAAAACATCTGTCATGATTTCTCGCGATTTGTTACTTATATATATATAGTTTCAGTGTTCTTTGGACTGTTACTATATATATATATATATATATATATATATATATATATATATATATATATATATATATGGAGAGAGAGAAAGGTTGATAGAGTAAGCGCGAGTGGTTTGCGATGGAAATGAATGGAGCAACGCTTAAGTGATTTACGATTGGCATCTGGAGCAGTGGCACTTCCGGTGCTTACGTGTGCAGTACACCTGCGTGCTCGCGATTCTAGTTTCATATATATATCGACGATCCAACTTTGCAACGACGACGTCGACGCGACCAAGATATATATATATATATATATATATATATATAATACAGTAGATAGTTACCATTAAACTGCATAGTAGACATCATTCCCCTTCTCCACCTTCTTCCGGACCACGGTCGATATCACCTTGTCGGAGCCGGACTTGGGGAATTTAACCCAGTGACCCACAGTCGCGATTCTCCTTTACAATTATACGCGGTACTTGAAACGGTTCAGCCAACGGGATATATATATATATATACGTCGACAATAATTCAATGTCTTCATTTTTTTTTTTTTTTTTAACAGAGTTGGATTCCTCAAAATTGTCCATTTGATCGCTATTCATTCCTGTGCAGAAATTTTGAAAGGGCCCTGGCAGGGCCCACGTCAGAAAGTTCCAAATTCGCATGAAACAGGGAATCCGATCGGGGCCACGGAAAATTCCCTATTTCGATTAACATTGATTAAAACCGGGGCCCGACCAGGGCCTGGTTTGGCCCCGGTCAGAGTTCCCTGTTTCAACCAGATCAGAGCCAGGTTGGCTAATTTTTGCACGGGTTCCTTTGATTTGAATTATCAAAAAATAAGTTTTGTCAGTAAAAGTTTTTAGGTTAGGTGAGAAAAATTCTGTTCCTTTTTTTAATTTAATGATGCAAGTTAAAAATTGAATGAAATACTTGTTTTTTTTAAAAAATTTTTATTTCGGTCGAAAATTGAAGTAATTTTTGCGGGGGGGAATCTGGGAAAATAAGTGGGAACAGAAAAGTTTTTTTTTTAGCAAAAGTAAAAGTATAAAAGTAATTGCAATATGGAAAGAGCGAAATTTAGAAAAAAGAAATATCTAATTTCTTATTTTATCCTTATGGCTCTTGCATTGAAGCATGAGATGATATTACACAGGACTAAACAAGATGTAGTAAGTTTATTCAACCCCTTGGCAAGTGTCTGCAGCGACTGACATTGTCTGTTGCTTTCAAGAGAAAGAGAGAGAGAGAGAGAGAGAGAGAGAGAGAGAGAGAGAGAGAGAACTTGGAACTTGGGTAATATAAAGTGGATCTTTGGAGAAGAGAGAACTGGAACAGGAACTCTCGACTCGCTTTCGAGCAGTTTCGTGCTTAATTGGTTCTTCAGCTCTATGTGGATACCCGTTTAGCCATCACGTCGCTACGAGACGTGAATTCGGGGTGCACAAATTTTTCCTGATTACTGCGCGTATATAATGACAGCAGTAGTTGTAACTGTAACAAATCTCTCTCTCTCTCTCTCTCTCTCTCTCTCTCTCTCTCTCTCTCTCGCTCTCTCAAATAACCAAAAATTTAGGTTAATTGATTTAAAAAAAAAAAAGAAATTTTTAAAATCCATCGGAATAATATTTATATTGAAAATAATTGAATTCGAAACAAATCAATACCATTTCAAAATATAAAATACATTTGGTTGGTATTTAAGCAAACAAATTTTTTTTTTGTTAAATCAACAAAATTTTAATATTATCACAATCAAAATTTGTTTGACACAACCAAAATTAGAAAAAAAGAATTTTTGTTGTCCTAACTAAAGTTTGATTGGAACAACCAAAATTTTGTTGATTCAACAAAAAAAAATTTAATTGCTTAAATACCAACCAAACGTTTGGTTATCAATATCAAACCCTTTTTTTTCAGTATGTAGTATTCTCGTTTTAAATACTAGAAAAGATTTTTTTTATAGTCAAATTAAAATAAGAAAAATAATATATATATATATATATATGTTTTTGAAAATTTAAAATTGTATACACATTCGCCAAAGGATCTAAGTGCCATGATTTCACAGGCAGAATAAGCTTTTCAGAGATTACTGTAATACGAGCAAATGAAATTGAAACAACTTTAGCTTAACGTTGTTACTGCAGAAGCTCGCATACTCAGTTTCAGTACAAGTTAAATGAGACTTATGCTGCAGAATACACCTTTTACGTCATTTCCACAAAATATACATATATATATATATATATATATATATATATATATATATATATATACATATATAAATAAATCCTCCAAGAGAAAAGTACTTTTCCCCTTAAGTGATAATAATTAAGTAAGACTTTCTACCTTGAACTCCTGGTAAAAGATGAAAAAAAAAAAAATATTTATGTCCTAATAAAATACGCATTTGAAACTGAATACGAGAAAAAAATGTTTATTTCTTTCAAGTTCGTTTCGTTGTTTCTTTTTTTATTTCTTTATTTATAACTATTTATTTATTTTCTTATATATTTATTTACTTATTTATTTCTTTACTTATGTTTTTTACTTATTTACTTTTTTGTTTATTTATACAAAATATTATTGCAATTTTTATTTTTTTCTTCCTTTTTTCATTATTTTTGAATTTAATAAAAAAAACTAAGTTTTAAATTTAGTAATACGAAACTGAAAGAAATTAACCACATTATTAATTATTTTTTTAAAAATGCGAACTTCTAAATATATATTTTTTTTAATTTTATGCCTATTTCACAAAAATTTTAATTAATAATTCTTTCCGGTTAGAATGGAAATATTTCAAACCGTATATATATGTATATATAGTATGAAAATTCAGGTATGCTTTAGAAAGGAATTGGATTTTGGTTTAAAGCAAAGTTAGAGAGAGAGAGAGAGAGAGAGAGTTGAAAACTAAATTTGTTTCAGAATAATTGAAATTTTCTCTCCAAAATCTCGAAAGCAATAAATTATTAAAATTTTTTTTTTTTTTGACCTTATTCCAACTTGAACTTTGTGTCAGTAAGATTTGTGACCCATCAGAAAAAATATGTGTTTTCTTTTATATATATTCGAAAAAAGTTTTTTAAAATAAATACTTTTTTTAAAACTTGCATATTTATCATTTAACACAAAAACATGTTTAAATTTCAACAATAATTGTTTTTGTATGAAAAATTGAACTGTCAGTTATTTACGGTAAAAGAGACTCATTCTTTAATGGTTCAATGTACTGATTACAATTTAATTCCGCGCACGTTTTTGTATAATTCAAAAACAATACATGTTTACTATATATATTCTCTTTCTCTCTCTTCTCCAAAACGCCACAGATTTAATTTTCATTTATTTTTTCTATGTACATTTTTTTTTTTTTACCATAAAGCAGAAAATAATTTTATAAATTTAATTTAACTCAATTAATTTAAATACGATAAAAATTTTCTTAAACAAATTTTTGAATTTAAAAAAGTAATTTCTCTTTCTATTCAACGTATATATATATATATGTGTATGTATGTCAATCTTCGTTTCTAAATGACAAATTTCATGATGTCATAAATCCAAATATTTTTCTACTTCCTTTGATGATGGATTCTTTTAACACAATTTGTCATATGTTTTTTCTTTTTTTTTTTTCTTCAAAGTTTCGATATAAGTTTCTTATCACCGCTACTTTTGCTATAAAGTTTTTTGTTACACGTGATTTTTTTTTAAATTTGTATAGTTTTTACTATAAATAAAAATTTTTTGAAATTAAATATTTTTTTTTGTAACTTTGATATTAGGGAAATATTATTATTAACCGATATAGGTATATACAGAGTGAAATGAGAGAATTTTGCACCTGTATAATTTACATATGCAGTTTATTTGGTAATATGACAATTGGAAAATTTGAAAACAACAATTATTTGTAATATGATCATATATTGTTTGAGAGACACGGTGTCGAGTATATTGCATTTAAATTTACATTTGAAAATACATTTGTAATTGTAGATGTTAATTCCCTTGTACATTAGTTTAAAGTTGTCTAAGCTTTCTCTCTCTCTCTCTCTCTCTCGCTCTCTAAATTTTGACCGCGATTCATTAATAGTCTCCGAATGGTTTTGGCTTAATGCTCACTGAAACCATATTTGCATCGTCAAAGCAACATTGGAGTCAAATTTCTCTCCAGTTGGGTAAGCGGAATTCAAGATCGCTGCTTCAGATTGCACCACATTGGTCCATTATGTTTTCACTATTAATTTTCAAGTACAATATGGGTTTTAAATTATTTTTAAATTAATCAAATTAAAAATCCATTATAGCTGTTTCATTATTTAATATTTATAATTTTGTAAAATTTCTTTTTAGAAAAATTTGTCTAAAAATATAAAATATTTCTTTGATTAAAATAGAATTTAAAAAAAAAATCATTTTTATCAACCCTAATAATAATAACAATTAGCTAATAATTCCTTTATAGTTGATTTAAGGAATAGTAGTTTAAAAAGTTTTTTAATTAATTTAAAATATCTTATACACAATTTCGAAAGAGGTGAAAGTTCCTTTTGAGTCAAAAGGCATTGCAAATGATTTGCAAAATGCATCCTTTTGCAAAGAAGCCGGATACTGAGCGAAAGTTGACAACTCCTTAAACAGCAGAAGGAAATTACATTCATGATTTTTTTTTTTTTAAATCATTTACTGACGAATTTTTATTCTAAAATTATTATTATTGTAAAAAAAAATATAAACATAGAAAAAGTCATCATTATTAATATCAAAGGTATTTAATTCCAAGTAAAGGATTTTTATATGGAACATAATGTTTTTATCTTTTTTGAGAATAGATTTGAGAGAGAGAGAGAGAGAGAGAGAGAGAGAGAGAGAGAGAGAGAGAGAGAGAGAGAGAGAACTTGACAGAAGCATTTATCGTAGTGATATTTTTAGATCTAAATAAGCTTGTTGATAAAAAAATTGAATGAAGAATCAATATTAATTAAACTTGTCAAAATATTTGTTTTAATTTTAAGAATTTTATTTTTTTTTTTTGCAAACATTTTGAAGGATTAAAGAAATCCTCAGGTTTATCTGGTGTAATTTCTTGGTTCTCGCACATACAACGTAAATACAATTTTACTGACTTAAACTTCAACTGTGTTTGTGTGTGGACTTTGAAACTTTATAACTTTGGCGTCTCCTTTTCCCAATCGTATTTACGTTTTAGTTGTACCACGAGTTGTATCTACACATGTATCTCCATTGCATTGCACTGTATCACTGCGAAAGAAGAGAAAGAGAGAGAGAAAGATACGAGTTCATTTTATAAAATGTCTTTTACACTAATCTATTGCCGCGACTTTTTAATCACAATTTATTTTTTTATTTTGCTTAAATAAATTTTTAAAATATTAATTTTTTTTTGCCCTTTTCCTTACACTTTTTGTTTTAATTTTTATTATTTTGAAGATTAAAATTTTGAAGATATTCATAATTTGTTTCTTTAATATTAAATTAATAAATAAAATAATATTAAATGTATAAAATTATTTTGATCCCTTTTTTAAAATGTTTACAAAAATTAATGCCATGAATATGTAATTGGAGATTCAGTATATATATATATACGAAATCCTTGTAATTTTCAATTTCTGTCGAGGCAAAAGCAGACGATCAAGTAATTGGCCAAGTCCTTGAAATTCTTCTTCTTCTTCTCTTTTTTCGTATTTCTACCTGCGAAGAGAAACTTTAGCTCTTAACTTTACGATCAGACTTTTTGACTCTTTAAAAAAAAGTTCAAATCGATCCTTATCTTTCATGAAAAAAAAAGCATTCAGTGCAGTTTTAGTTTTTAAACAGTGTTTACATACATTGATATTTGAATAATAAAAATATCGACTTTTTTTAGTACAATTTGATATATAATTATAATATTAAACATAAAACTAATAGTTTCAAAATGAAAATGAATATTTTTTTTTTATGGCTACAGCCAATTTTTTTTTTATATCAAAGACATGGTAAACCATTGTATTGAATACATAAAAATTAATTAAAAAAAAAAAAAGAGAGAGTGCGTAAATTATAAGCAAGATAAAATGAATCACTTTAAATTCACATTTTCATTTGTTTTTCTCATTTGCTTTTTATAAATATATGTATATGTGAAGCTCGTGAAAAGCGGAAGTTCATGCGGGGAAAGCATCGGCGGGTCCAATTTTATTACGGTTCGATCTCCACTCAATATCCATTTCCCACACACTCTTATGCATATACCAGAAATTGTAAAAGCGTGTATATAAATGAATGGTGAAGAAGATGGTGGTGAAGAAATAGAAATTGACAGAGAGAGAGAGAGAGAGAGAGAGAGAGAGAGAGAGAGAGAGAGAGAGAGTAAAAAATATATATATATTCACATGAAGAAATAAATTTGCAAAAACATTAAATTCATTTTATATATATATATATACCACTTGTAATAAAATTATGCTTTGCGCGAATTATTTTCATTTTTTTGTTTCGCTTTAAAAATACTTTAACTTTGATAGTTTTCATAAATATTTGAATATTTAATAAAAAAAATGTTTTATAAACTTTTTGTCAAATCAGAAAAAAATGGAATTATTTGATAATAAATATGAAAAAATTTGGATGATAATTTTTTTTTTTAATATAGGAAAACGTTTCAATAATTTCAAAGTTGAAGGAAAAAAAAAAAATATTTTCAAACGGTAAGCAGCCGTTTTGATGCTTGCATAATATATCGCCTCAAGTTAAAGTCCGTAGATCTCTCTATCTGCTGAAAAGTATTTGCACAATGAGTTTGCAAATTTATCTCCTACCATATGATATACAAAAACGTTATTGAGTAACACAAATTGATACTCAAAAAATTTGTTTTTATTACTAAAAATTGTATTACAAAAAAAAAAAATTTAATTGAAATGAAATTTCAATTTTTTGAACATTTTTTTTTTGATTTTTCAAATAATATTGTAGTTATTTATTTATTTTTTTTTTTTGTTAGAAATTTCTTGTGACACGTTTCGAAGAAACTGACAGAATCTTATAGAGGTGTGTGATTATGTTTCTATAGAAGCTCTTGCAGTTTACCGCTTTATGTATTCAACTCGTCGAACTGCTATATAAACTTGTTACGAGCAATTCCCCGAGAGTTTGAATTTAAAAGAAGAAATCTATAGGCGGTCCTTCTATGAACGACATAAACTAAATATCTATATTCATTGAGTGACACAATTTCTCTTTTTTTTTTTAATACAATTAATTATTAGTGAAGATAAATTTTTAATTTTCATTCTCTCTTCTATTTTCCAAATCTATTTCAATTGTTTATCATTTTTTAAATTTCTATATTAAAATTCGTATACTAAAAGAAATTAAAATCTAAAAATATAAAAAAAAAAAAATTAATTTTTGTTATATTCATTTTACAACTCGAGAGCGAATTAATTGCTTGAGCGATATATAAAATTTAACATTTTTCATATATGAAGCTTATTTGACAGATAAAAAGATCTCGTTAGTCGTTTTTTTTTTTTTTTTTTTTTTTTTTTTCAAAATGACATTTGCTGAGAAGAAAATTGATGTTATTCCAAACGCGTGCAAAGGACTCATTTTGCAGCCATCATCAGAAAATCTATATTTTCCCTTGTGCCCGCTTATATTCATTCCCATCGTCACTCCTTTTAACTCTCTCTCTCTCGTTCCTTTTTATTGCTGTAAATTTCCTACACATTTTTGCATATGAACTTTTTTTTTCAAAGCTTAAAAGAATTTTATTTCTTCATTATTACTTTTTATTAAATACTTTTTTTTTATTTAAATCATTTTTTAACACTTTTATTCATTTCTGAATTTTTTAACATTTATTTGAAATGTTAAATTTAAATAGTACTTTTTTATCTGTATTTTGACTTTCGGAGAAGAATGAAGAAAACTTTTATATACGATATGTGTTTTTGAGAAAGAAATCTTTGAGTATAATTTGAAATGCCTCTATTAATGAAAAGTTATTGTTAGCCCCCCATTTACAAGTAAGTCACACAAGAGGATGACTGCATTATTAAACTATACCAATCTCGGGAAAATGTGGTTGGCTTAATGCCAATTCTCTTCGCGAAATAATGTCGAGAGTTATCGTTTGTAACTTGACTAACTAGGATTTAAAACAGTAGAAAAACAAAGGACCAAAAATCGGCTATTGCCAAATAAATGCAGATAAATGATTAAATATATGTACACACAATACCCTAGTTGTAACAAAATAACCAGTAAATATATATATATCCTAATAATTATAGCAAGAGCTTAAATTTTTTTTTGTATATATTAAAATGCTGAAATTGGTTTTAAACATTAAAACTATAGAATGGACTATATAAATTGACAATTGTCTCAAAAAATTCGTAATTTTTTTTTCAAATAAGTTTTGCCATCTTTGAGAGCACTATTTTCTACTTAACATATGCCCTACCTTTCCATATTCTGTCAATAGCACGATTTCACAGGTCCTTTGCTCAAGACATCCCCTTTATTCGAAGTAAATAAAGCTGTCTCGACGATGTTGAGAAAACGATTCTACGATAGTATTCAAAAAAGAAATAGAAATTGACAGAGAGAGAGAGAGAGAGAGAGAGAGAGAGAGAGAGAGAGAGAGAGAGAGTAAAAAATCAAGTAAAAGAATAAAAAAGGGTGATATTCAAAAAAAATTTGTGGTATTTATACTGAGAATATTCCAATATTTATATATTTTCACGAAAGAATCAAATATGAATGGGAAATCGATTCCCAATTTTCGTGCTCGAAATAGTTGAAATATTTCAGTACTTCGAAATATCATAAAATAGTCAGAAAAAAGTAAATATTTTACAAATTTATTATTAATTTGTTTGCGAAAAATATGCGAGTAACGGTAATTAAAAAAAAGAAATACAAATTTTAATTTTAGTTTCAAATTTTTAGTGGGCGGAGTCTGAATCATAAGGGGCGTGTCTTGAAAAGAGGAGGAGACTAAAGAGGCGTCTCCTATTACTGACACGCCTCCTAAGGCGTGATGAAAAATACTATATACATCTGTTTTATCCAAGACACGCCTCCTTGTAAATTTCATTGACCGTACGTCGGTTAAAAAAAAGGGCGTGATAAATAGGCGTATCTTATTACTGACACGCCTCCCAAGGCGGAATATAAACATTCTCAAAGAAAAAAGGAATATAAAGGCGTATCCTCTTCTTGGAATAGGCGGGAATAATATAGACATTTCCTTTTTATAAAACCCCCACTCCTTTAACACAATGGGTGTGTCCTAATGAAAAAGGCGTGTCTAAAGTTGGAATAATTGTTTCATTCTAAAATTATGAAAGCGCAATAAACGCTATAATAACAAACAAAAAAAAAAGTAAAATTAAAATAGTTTTATCAAATTTTTTTGCACACATGAGAATTTATGGAATAAAAAAAGAATTAAGTTTACAGAAAAGTGGTTATTTATTATCAATGAAATTGTGCAAGTACGTCATTGTCGTCCTTCGATCTCTGTGATTGGTCCTTCCTGCTTCAATAACAATTAGCGGAGAATGCAACAACTCTCTGCTCTTTCAATTTAAACGCGTTAATTATAATCTAGACGTATTTTCCACTCAGTGATTTCAATTTGTTTCGATGCCAGAATGCATAGATGGCCGTTTTATACTATCTCAAATTGTTTGTGTGTATATGTAAAATTATATTAGAGATGAAATTGAAATTTTAATCCAGTTCATTTACTGAAGATTATTTTTAGTAGTGTTATTATGTTGTTTAGTAGGAAAAAGAAATATTTTTATTATGAAAAAAATTATTTTTAATTTATTTTTTAAATTTAATTTCAATTATTATTTTATTTATTTGAGAAATTCTTTTCATATAATTCATATATTGTTTTGCTTTTCTGTTTCAGGTAAGAATAATATGACTGATTAACCAAAAAAAAAAAAAAAAAAAAAAAGATGTATGAAATGACAACAAAAAAGGAAATGGAAAAAAATCCAATTGTTCGTATAAAAAATAATATTTAAATTAGATTATAAATTTGCTAAGAATTAAGGACATATGAAAAATTGCAAAATGAACATTTTTCTCTTTAAAATGTTGTATATATATATATATCATAGTGAGGAAAAATATTAAAATTCTAGAATAAATATTTCCGTCAAAATCTCAGATCAATGTAACTAGTTTTAAAACGAAAAAGTTCTTTTTTTGTTATTTCCTCTCTATCGATGTTTCGAATGCTTTTTGCCTTTGGTATAAGAGTCGGATTATATTTCTTTAAACAAATCTCATTCGCACAAAGAATATTCTTGAATCGTTCGATTCGTAAAATTCTTTGTTTATTTTTACATTTTTCAAATAGAATTTTATGAACACACACACAGAAAAAAAATATATAATATAAATTAAAATGAGAGAGAGAGAGAGAGAGAGAGAGAGAGAGAGAGGAAATCTTTTGTGAGGACGTAAAATTGCCATGAAAATTAATTGACTTTAGAGGTTTTGTTTTTTGTGAAAAATAGAAACGATGAGAAAATTCATGGTTTGCTAAAATACTTCTGAAAGATTAGAGGAGAATTCTCCTTTCCAAAGAGGATGAATCGCAAAGTTCAACGAATAGGAAACTTTGTTTCCATCGTTACTGAGCCTTTTTCTTCGTCTCCCACTCTTTTCTTCTCCTT